ACATTTTTGAATTTTCAAACACAGCATCGGACTCGGCTAGCCCAGAAAGCCATGTAGGCGTGAAAAACCCGCAGTCGCGATCTTCCCGAGCCACTGCCTTTAAATTTGCTGAAGTCAATGTGTAGGGCACGCGCCAGGTGAATCCATTTGAGCTTCATGCGCTTGATCCACTTCCCCCGCTAATGATCAAACCAATGATAGCTTAGCGAATCCTGTCCCACTTCGTGTTCGCTTTTGATTACACTATTTTGATAAAAAGCGAAATGGACGAAGCGAATCAACCGGATGAAGTTGGGCATGGAAAGCCCTAGCATACCTCACGCAATTTCAGTCGCGACGAAATTTGGCACTATTCCAACTGTTCATAACTCATCGTAAAAGGTTTGAATGTAAGGAAAATAAAGCATTTTATCAGCCAACGAAAGTTGTATATCTTGTGCGTTTGGGATCTGCCAGTACTGAATTGAAGACACCTGGCAAACTGCCAAGTACTGCGACTGAAATCGCGTGGAATCGTATGCCTACGCCTAAGGAAAGAAAGGCAGCGACCTAGCTGCGCAAGCCGTGGTATACACGGGGAAAGCTCTGTGGGACACAGACCATACATACTTTACCATTTTGAATCAGAGAAGCTGATAATTCAAAATACAGCAATGCAAACCAGAAAGCAACGAGTTATAAAAACATAATGACGTATGAAGTTCTTTTTTCACATGTGAAGATAGGTAGTTTTCTCACATTTGGCAAAGACAGATAGAATAAAGAGACTAGTAAACCTACATTGACCGGAGGCGCAAGAAGGAATCTGCGCGCAAATTCGACGATGAAAAGACCGCAGTCGAAGTTGTTACCCTGCTGCGGGAGGTTTTCCGGTATTATGCAACGCATCCGTTCTTTTGATGGTAAATCATACATACGGCGTCGCATCCATACATACTAAACTGGCTTTGATAAATCGCAGAAGACAGTGTGCAGAAAGACAACCTTGAGAAATTCATCGCACAGATCAGCGATGTTTTGTAAATTATTGAGATCGTCGGTAAGCTGCGAATCGAAGCAAACCATCCTCGCACGTGGTGTAAAAGGATGACATACAATGACCAACGACCTTCAATTTGCTGATCATGAAAAACAGTTAAAAAAAAGACTGGGCTCACCAATGTTCCCACTCATTGACTGGCACAATGATGTAATCAACGTCAATAAAATCGAACTCTTCCACAAAATCCAAAACATCGCCGAATC